AGACTGATTGCCCAAAACGTGTTCTTAGACTACCAAGACAATATTCGTTGCACACAATGTCATTCAAAGGTCAAGGTCAGGTCAGGTCAGGTCAGGTCAGATCACCAAAACAAAATATAGAAAAGGGCATGTGCGACACATGTTTTATGGGTCATTTTACTCATGGAATTCAATAGGCACACTCAATAAGTGATATGGACCACCTCTGGATGAATTTCAGGTCGAGGTCAGGTCAAGGTCAGGTCAGTGAGGTCAAATTTTGAAGTTGGTTGTTAAGGTCTAAAAAGGTGTCTATCCGATGCAGTTTTTCACGGCAAATCGAATGGTGCTATTTTTGTTTCCGTACGAGGTCTAGAACTTCCAAAAAAATCATTTTTCAAAATTTTTGTGTGTCGTGACGTCATAAAATTTTGAATAACTCCCACATTTTTGAACCGATTCTTCTAAAAATTGGTATGCAGGTGCACATAGACCACTTCTTTGACATATATTCCGGTTTTTTCGATATACTCAAAATTTTGGATTTTATAAATATTTTCCCAAAAAAGTCAGTTTTTTGGAAAAAATTTTGGCCAAAATCCAAAATTTTCAAAAACCGAGATTGCCATTTGATAGACAAAGTAGAATCACGTATAACCTTTTTTGTTACGTCTTGATTCCTTTAAAAATGAAGATGTTAGTGGCGTTTGAAATTTTGCCGTTTTTGAGGCGAAAATGGCGAACATGACGTCACTAAAACGTCAATTTCTCAAAAATTTTCCGACGGATTTCGCTCAAATTTTCAGGGAACGTGTCAAATTGATGTATGATAAGGTACTGAAAGTTTGACGTCGCTGGCGTAACGCGTTTAGAAGTTATTGGCGAAAAACGGGAGGGGGGGCAGATTCTGCCCCCCCCCCAGCGGGGCGCGGGTTAAAAGTACAAAACATAAATTGGGTCCTTTCCCATCAAGGACATTTTCTCTTTCGAATGACGTACGTACAATGGGAGCCGTTTTGATAGCTAGAATTCCTAGAAATAATTGATTTTCCAGCGTTCGTCGGTTGTACCCGGAGGGCATCTCGTTTTCAAGATTTATGCCCCCTATCCCCCAATACGATTCCCCGCGTTTTGTACAAAGGAAGGTGTGATAGTGTCGGCTGTCGCACCCACAAACACATTTTCAGCGAAATCGCAGGGACCCTACTGAATCCCCGCTCAATCCCCCTGCTAACTTCCGTTACTTCCATAGCCATCGGCGACTAGTGACGTCGGAGCATTGGTGGAGGCAATGCGAATAGCGAATGTGAAGACGCACACAATTCGACCGGGCCTCAGCGAGGAGCAGCTGGAGACGGCACTCCGGGGCCTGGAGGCCTACACGGCTTTGGAGGAGCTTGTGCTGTCAGTGCCTCCTGACTCGACGGGACGATGGCTGAGGCTCCTGCCGCCGTCATTGCGAACGCTCTACGCCTTCGGTGAGATACCTATTGTGGGCGAACCAAGTAATAGCCGTTTTCACGACGGGCTATCCGGCGAATGCACCTGATTTGACCAAATCTGCACCTAATTTCTTTTACAGCAAATATCTTAATTTTATGAATTTATTTCAGTGTTTTAACCCTCGCATGTGTAGGGGGGGTCGGATGGACCCCCCCCATGGTTTTTCGCGAATAACTCGCGTAAAAAGCGGCCGATCGCGACGAAACTTTCAGTACCCTCGCATTCATTAATTTGACACCTACCCTGAAAATTTCATGACCCTGACCCAAATGACCTTTGACCTGTGACCTCTTTTCCGAGACCATGTTTGGCCGGAATCGCGATTCGGCGTACGTCGGCTCGCATTAGCCGCGCGTTTGCAAGCTTTTCGTGGTTTCAAACGTTCAAACATGTGATTTGATGCTGCTCCCATGCATTAGGGTGGGTGTCAAGGTCACCTGAAGGTCAGGTCAGGTCATTGACCTTTGGTGACCTCGGGTGACCTCGGTTCACTTTTTCGAGTTTTACATGTTTCTAGGCTAGTTTTTGGAGCTGAATTCGAATTTAGCAACCATTTGAACATTTACGAAGTAGTTTTGGTGCCTTCGTAACATGTTACGAAGCTGTCAGAGGCGGTTGACACGTACTACGAATACCCGTCACGACGCCTACTGATTGACCTGACCTGACCTGACCCGACCTGGTCTAAATGCTTTAAGACATCATCTGTGATCAAAACTAACACGATTTTCGTGATCAGCACCCCGAAAAACCCCTTAGCAGCCACACTTTACGACTTTCTAATAGGTCCCGATTTTCCCGACTTTGGGTCATTGACCTGACCTGGAAGGTCAACCAATGACCTAGGACCTTAAAATTGGGTATCATCGGCTTCCTCTCGTCACGGGCAACACGCTCGTTTTTTCCGCGAAGCTCTAGCTCGATCAGGGGCCAAACGGCAAGGGGGGGGTCCAACCGACCCCCCCCCCCCTACACATTAGAAGCTGGAAAACGCCGCACACATGCGAGGGTTAATAGATGATGCTCTCTGATAATATGACAAAGCAGGCATATAAGCAACTAGTGCAACCCTAGCTGATAGCTACTAAGAGACACACTGAACCTGATTTGACCAAATCTGCACCTAATCTGTACCAGATGTGCACCAAATGTGTACCAGATGGCCGTCGCGAAAACGGCTAATATCACTTTTGACTGGGGGAAACAGAGTAGAGCATTACAAATGCGGATTTGCGTATGGTTAACCCTCGCCGGCTGAGAGGGGGAGGGCGGGTGCCGCCCCCTTCCCCTCTAACTCTTCAGCTTTTTTCGCGATAGGTGCAAACCCGCCAGAGATAGAGAGCTGAAACTTGGCATACCTGACCTTTGATTCAAGCCAGATGTTTTGACATCAACCGCATTTTCGGTTCAGGTCATGTCATAAGTGAACCTCTGCACGGTCTTCACTTGTCGCAACTTCGCAACGCCCTCAATGCCAGAAGAGCGTTCACAGGGAAATGAAACTTATAGGATTTAGTATTCATTAGGAGTCTCGCAACTTGTATATCTCGGATTTTTCCTAAAGGTGATATGAGGTCAGGCCATTTTCGTGACGTCACCATTATAAGTCAATGGGGAAAAATGAAAACTGCCATTCTAGCGCCGGGAACGATCTCCAACTATCTCAAGCACACAAAATCGTGATTTCATGCACTCCTTGCAAGGTTCGATAACCCACTTTTGCAATGCTGACCTTGCGTGACGTCATTTATGACGTCATTAGGGTCATAATAGTTTTTCGTCAATAACTCCCGATCAAATTGAGCTAGCCAGTCGGGAAAGCCACCAATGGACTCAGGAAGACCTGCCGAATCAATGATATGCGACATGACCTCTTTTGACCAATTTCGTGACCTGGGGGGCGCTGACCTGACCGTGACCCGAGTTTAACACCCTAAGTTGACCTAACCCAAACAAAAAGTATATCATTCGACGCGCTTGAGCGAGACAAACACGATGCTGCCAAAATCGTGACTCTATGGCCGTTTTTTTTTACGAAGTTATACACCATAAACGGAGCCGTACGTACCTTAAAGGCCGCCCCACACTGGAACTCGCATGCGGGTTGCGAGTTTGCGGTTTTTGAGTTTGCGGGCATAATACTAATTCATAGAGTGATTAGACCGTTCCCTTATGGTAACTTTATGAATGCAGTGAAGCCGGTGCACCTTCAGAAACTTACATATAGTCGCAATACCAGCGCAACGAACCAAAATTCGGCTCCAACGAAAAACCCGCAAACCTCGCAGAACTCGCAGACCTCGCAGCGAGGAAAACCGAAAGTTGACTCAAAATCACCTTTTTGAATGTGATGCAAGGTCGCTCGCAAGCTAAAAACATGCAGACTCGCTTGTTAGATGGTAGTGTGGGTCACTCAGCTTAGATTGTATCATTTGATTTTGAAGAAACCCGAAAACCCAAAAACTCGCAACCCGCATGCGAGGTCCAGTGTGGGGCGGCCTTAACCCTCGCCCGTATAGGGGGGGGGGGGTCGAACGGACTCTCCCCCTCGGTTTTTCGCGAATTACTCGCGTAAAAGCGGCCGATCACGACGAAACTTTCAGTACCCTCGCGTTAATCAATTTTGCACCTACCCTGAAATTTTCATGACCCTGACCTTAATGACCTTTGACATGTGACCTACTTTTCAAGACCATGTTTGGCCGGAATCGCGATTCGGCGTATGTCGGCTCGCATTAGCCGCGCGTTTGCTGTCTTTTCGTGGTTTTAAGCGTTCAAACATGAAATATGATGTTGCTCCCATGCATTAGGGTGGTTGTCAAGGTCACCGGAAGGTCAGGTTAGGTCATTGACCTTTGATGACCTCGGTTCACTTTTTCGAGTTAAACATGTTTCTAGGCCAGTTTTAGGAGCTGAATTCGAATTTAGTAACCATATGAACATTTAAGAAGTAGTTTTGGTGCCTTCGTAACATGTTACGAAGCTGTCAGAGGCGGTTGCCACCTACTACGAATACCCTTACTGGTTGACCTGACCTGACCTGACCCGACCTGGCCTAAATGAATGAAAACATCATCTGTGATCAAAACTAACATGATATTCGTGATCAGCACCCCGAAAAACCCACAGCAGCCACGCTTTACGACCTTCTAACAGGTCCCCATTTCCCGACTTTTGGGTCAATGACTTTGAAGGTCCTGGAAGGTCAACCGATGACCTAGGACCTTAAGATTGTGTATCATCGGCTTCCTCTCGTCACGGGCAACACGCTCGTTTTTTTCTGCGAAACTCTAGCTCGATCAGGGGCGAAACGGCAAGGAGGGGGTCCAACGGACCCCCCCCCCCCTTTACGTTCCCGGCTTGAAAAACACCAATACGGGCGAGGGTTAACCCTCGCCGTACCTATTGGTTTTCTACATACGCGCCGGCCGAGGGGTACGAACTACGAATGGCCCCCTTGCCGTTTCGCCCCTGGTGGAGCTAGGGCGTGGCGTAGAAAACGAGCGTGTGCGCCGTTACGAGACGCAGATACTGATACCCGATTTTGAGGTCCTAGGTCAACCGGTGACCTCTGAGGTCAGGGCGAGTGCCCTAAGGTACGGTTCCGTATTTGGTTAATAGCTTCGCAAAAAACGGCCGCAGAACCGCGATTTTGGCAGCATGGTGTTCGTTTCGCTCAGGCGCGTCGAATGATATATTTTTGTTTGGATGAGGTCAACTTAGGGTGTTGACCTCGGGTCATGGTCAGGTCAGCGCCCCCAGGCCACACCATTGATCGAAGGAGGCCATGTCGCATATAATTTGATTTGGCAGGTCGTCCTGAGTCCATTGGTGGCTTTTGCGACTCGCTGGCTTAATTTGATCGGGAGTTTTCGACGAAGAGCTAATATGACCCTAACAACGTCATAAATGACGTCACGCAAGGTCAACATTGCAAAAGTAACGCATCGAAACTTGCAAGGAGTGCATGAAATCACGATTGTGTGTGTTTGAGATAGTTGGAGATCGTTCCCGGCGCCATAACACGCGCACTGCAGCGGGTCTGAGCCGAACACGAACTGCAGGGGGGGGGGGTTGAAAACAACCCCCCCTGAGATCTCGAAAACGGCGCAACGTAGCGACAAGCGGTAAACGGCGTTGGTTAGGTTGAGATGAGATCTACAAGAAATACAAAGATCATTTTTGGGTCAGGTCAAAAACGAGGTCACCAGAGGTCACCGAAGACAAAATGTTACGATTTTCACAACAGGAATTTTGCGGTAGTTTTTCTTGAATAACTTGTCTTGCACACAAGACAGAGGATCGATTCGAACGCCATCGTTCTTAGCTCGTCAAGGCGCATCGAATGATATATAATATGACCTCGAAAGGTCAAGTTGAAAATTTGACCTCAGGTCAAGGTCATGACCTGACCGAAATAGGTCATGTTGCATATCATTCGATCCGCATTGACGAGAAAAACACGATAAACGTCGAACGGAGTCTCTATCTCTATTCAATCTCAAGTTATTGAAGAAAAACCGCTGGTGACCTCAGGTGACCTAAGATGACCTGGAGATCACCTTCCAAAGGTCATAAGTGATATGTTTCGGTGAAATCACCAACAGGGACCTGTAATACTATGATCCTGAGCGTATTGAAGTCATAGGATGGCATTCAGAGTAAGTTGAAATTTCTCCCATTGACTTATAATGGGCCGGTCGCAAAAATGACCTGACCTTAGGTCATCGATATAAAAATTCCGAGATATACAAGTTGTAGCTCGTGATGACTTTACTATTTCCTGTGGGTTTCAAGATCATATCTCAACAACTGTGGGCTTGGTGGGATTGCAAACTTCTAAATTTACGTTTCGAGGTAGGGTCACTTGACCTGACCTGGTGACCTGACCATAGGTCACCTGGGGTCAAAATTTTTACTCAAGGTGTGCAAAAGTTGGGAGAACAGGTATGCAAAATTTGGCGGCGCTACGCGC